GCATAAGCATGAAACAAAGAAAACTTACCTTCTATTTTGGTAAAGGTATTAGTGTGTTTCTGTTTGTACACAGGATAGTTATAACAACGTTAGGTGCAATTATATGCATGTCTCTGTATCTGGAGATTGGTTTAAGAAATATGCCTGTTTGCCAAGTTAACAAGGGGTGGACTGTAGTGGTTGATACATTGTGTCAACTTGGCTGGACTGCCTCTGCTATTCCACACCCTGGGCTGTGGAGGCCCTGCCCCAGAGTAACTCAGCATGAAAAGGGTATCATAAAGGGGTTGAGGAAGGATTTGGCATTCCACTTCCTTGGAGGAACTTCAGTCTTCACAGTCAGCTTGGACTTCATCTCCTGGCTTCCAGTATAGACTCATCTGCCTCCAGCTTGGATCCTTCAGCTTTCTATTGCAGATTCTTCAGCCTTCCATTGCAGACCCATTGGCTGGCTGATAGAGACTTGCACAAAACACTGCCATAAGCTTCAGGCCCTGAGCTGAATCCTTCAGTCTTGGGTGTGCAGACGCCTTCTGCATACTTCCTCATCTGACTCTGTGGCTGACCATTGTAAGACAATCTTGTAATTTCTTGTACATTTGTATATCTTGTGTTATATCTGTTCCTTGTATTATGTCTGTTCCTCTAGTAAAACCCTGACTAATACAATGGGCGAGCCTGATGTGAGGGTATTGGCTCTAGGTGGTTTAGGGGGATGTTTCATTGTTTGTCAGGCTGGACACAAGCATGCACACATTACTAGCTATGTTTCACCTGTTCTCCATGTAGGTCCACTTGGGAAACCTTATGAGTTTGGAAGTCCAAGGCTTAGTTGTTTCCAAAGGGCCAAGACGCAGAAGAGCCAGGACTGTGTTGTTGCATCCACTTGCATGTGTGGGGTGGGGTGAGGGCAGAGTAGAAGAAAGGAGTTACACTGTGGCAACCAACTCCCAGGATGGGAAGCTTTCTAACCATGAGTCTAATTCCAAGATGGACCAAACCCTGGTAGCCTAGGCCCTGGGGATGTGTGGAGGTGCATATGTAGGCTCCTATTCAGTGACAAACACAGCCATGTGAACTGTGGGCATCTCTCAACTGCCTGAGTCTCCTGAGTAGTCACATGCACTAACCATGGGGATCAGGAGGAGTCTCCAGCTTGCCTTATCCCCAAAACCAGAAGTCTGCCTTGGCTGATAGATAGACAAGAAATCTGCCAACATTTACAATAACTATTAGTTACTGAGTTCTAGTATTAAACTACTGGTTGCACTTGTGCTTAATGAAGCCGAAACCCACTGTCCTGTTGCAATATATCTGCTGGATCCTACTGAGGTTCTATAGATGCCTCTGATCTGGAAATCTTATTTGGTTCAGGCAGCAGATATGCCAGCTGTTTTCACAAGGTTACGTTAGACTATCAAGGCTTGAGATGGCAAACACAGCCTGGGACCTCTCATCTAACTATTTCAAGAATTCAGGTATACTTATCTATCATTCACTTATGCATTCATTCCCTGATGCATTAAGCCAATATCTAATGAACATCTAAAATTGTGTGATGCATGCTGGGCTGCATTCAGGGATGAATGATCTTAACAGGAAGCCTCCAGTCTCAAGAGCAGCACAGTTCAACACTGGAGACAAAGAACAACTGTGTGAAGCAGTCAGTACTTGGGAGAAACTCTTCCACTTGTAAGACAAGACAATATTTAATATTTGTAACTATCTGGATTCATTTGAACAGTGAAGCAAGATACACTTTCCACAGGATTCCTATTGCAAAAAAATCTTTGAGATTCTGAACTAGATATTTTAACCATGATCTACATTTAATTTGTACTGATGGCAACATTGGTTGAACAATATGGAAACTACTTCAGTCAACTCAAAGCCTTTGGCCACGGGTTCCTCATACCTTAAGAAAGAGTTTTTCCTCCCATTTAGTCCACCAGACTCACTTTTCTGGGGATTTTTCTCTTGGAAACCTCATCTACTGTGACAAATGTGAGTAATCTTTACTCTCTGAGTGAGCAACACCATGAACCCACCGGTAGGTGGATGTTAGAAAGAATATGGAGATTTCCGTGCTTCCTTTTAAAAAGTGTATTTGCTGTGTCAGAGGCAAGTGTATTTGTTCCTTATGCCCTTTGTAGGCATGAAATAAATTAATATTTTATAATAAATTTGAATGCATTCCAAGGGTGTCTACTTCTAAGGCATCTAAAAGCTTCCTGTCCTTCTCAGTTAATCCCAGTGGCTACCAAAGTTCCAGCAGGTGACTGTGGCCTGAAGCTCCCCCCAAAATACCAAGGAACAATATTTTCGTACACAACCCAAGACCCTTGGCAGGTCAGCACACACGAGCCTTCAATCTTGTCTGACTGGCCATGCTTTTTGCTGCAATGCTGTGCATTTGATTCACAGGACTTTTATTTGCCAGAAAAGTAGAATTTCTGAGGTACCTGAAGGCTTATGGGGATGGCTGGATAGAATTTTGATTTTGAGCTAATAGGGAAAATAGATTTGCCCTTGTGAGCTCCTCCTTGTGAGGCTCCAGGATTTGCCCTTGTGAGCTCCTCCTAGTGAGGCTCCAGGATTCTTGTTCCCTCACCTGCTCCTTTACAAATAAATGATCTTGGACGTAAGTTGGAGAAGCGCTGCTGTGACTTGCTTGCTATTCCCCAGCCCCATGTTTGCTTCTCAGGTGAGCCCCCTAAGTCTCAGATGCAAAGTGACGCACGAGTTGGTGTGGCTGGAAGCTTAAAGCCATTGTAGGTCTTGTTCTGGGATAACACAGCTTGTCCTAGGAAGCTGCACAGCGTGTCCATCTGCAGCATTTTGTCTTGTCAGGCCCTGGTCAAGAATGCTGCCTACATTACCATAATTAAAACGAACAGCCTGGTGTTCATTAAGTGCTCCTAATGCTTGGTGCTGTTAAAATTAGGTACATTTACAGGTAAGGGACAGGGGCACAGGAAGCCTTCCTCAAGGTCACTCAGAAAGTGCAGCAGGCACCTGACCCACAGGGTCCGGCTCCACCTTTACAAAGTGGAAGGTCGTGGTAGAAGGTGCTCCGACTTTGGAACCACAACCTGAGTCTCAGCTTGCCCTTATGGAGCCAAGAGGCTCTGGGTAAGATAGCTGAACTTGTTTCCCCACCTGTGAAATGGGAAGACCCTCTGGAAAGGTCAGCAGTGGAGTGTGTAAGACCAGGGCTAATGTCTCCAACTGCCCCTGGTTTTCCTAACTCAAATGGCACACATAACCTTGTTGTTTGACCAGGTTATACTCACCTTGAATCAGCACTTGCCCAGGAAGTCTACATGTGCTGCAGGATTTCCCTGCACAAAATACACCAAGGGTGCTGTGCAGGCACCTCTGAGTGCACTGGGCTAGGGGAGTGGGGGAGGGACTCAGGACCCAGCCCGGGACTTGGTTCGACAAGCAGCTGAGTGTCAGGAAAGCCAGTGTGGACCATGCAGGATTCAAGGATGGTGACGATGCTGCAGGATGCATAAGAATCATGGGGTAGGGCTGGAGAGATAGCTCATGGAATAAGTGTTTGCCTGGCAAGTGCAAGCTCCTAAATTCAATCCCTGGTACCACCAAAAAAAAAAAAATCATGGGGTGAGGGGCCAGGCTGGGGTGGAGGCTTTATATCTGGAGCAGTGAGGAGGCTCTGACCTCCAGCGTTCGGGATCTGATTGTGTGGCAGGGGCAGTGACGAGGCTGCTGCATCAGGACTCTGGTGTTCCAATCAGAGCAGGGGACGGACAGAGGTGGGAGACAAAACTGAGAGGCTTGGTGCCTCTGTAACTGAATACGTCGACAGAAAGAAGCTGAGGGGAAGATTGACACTGAGCCCTGTGGTGGCTGCTGACCAAATGGGGAGATTTAAATTGGTCACATTTAAATTGTGCTTAAATGAGTATTGATTTTGTATCCTGCTATGCTACTGAACTACATGTGTAAATATCGTATAGTCTCCCTAGCATAAGAAATCAAAAGAAGAAATACAAATAGAAAGGTATAACACAACTAAAAGGAAAGTGAGAACTTGAGGATTGGACAACGAGGAGAGGGTAAGGAGAAAAGCTGGGAAACAGGACAGGGACAAAGCCATACATTTATACACACAAGATGAGCAAGGCAATGAGCCTGAGAAACATCAGCAGGTTTTTGAAACTAGCAGTTAATTGGTAGGATTCTCACCCTGACTAAGTATACATGCTGATACCTACGAACCAAGCAACTGCACTGAAGGTAGCAATGTATAATAGAAGGGTCACGCTTGGAATGCCTGTCATTCTGGTCTTCTAAATACATACTTCTTGTCATGACAAATTATGCTTAAATGAGATCTAAACCCCTCAGACTCATTAGCATGGTGCAAGTGTGCCAGGTCTGCAGTGGTACCCGCTAGGAACCAGGGAGAGGGGCACAGGTTGCTGGAGCTCACTGCTGCAGACTGCTGCCTCTTTCTGCAGGCTCTCAGACAGTGCTGGCCTGGCTCCCAAGGCACCTGGAGCTCACAGCAAAGCCTGAGAGCAGGGGGAAGATGTCTGTATATTCTGATGTAAGGCCTCCTTCCAACAGTGCCCACTCTACCTTCTCCACAATGCAAAGAGCAGGGTGCTGTTCTATGGACATGCCCTCAAGAGCCTGAGGTACTCCTAGCAGGGCTTTGGAAGGTGGCCAGAGTGTGGGGCTCATAGCTGACTTGCTGTCCAGAGGCAGGGTCTGTCAGGAAGAGAAAGGTCACCGGGGCGTGTCTGGGAAGGTTTATCTGTGTCCTGGGGCCTTCCTGGATTGTCTGCTTCCGACCCCCCATGCCCTGGTCAGCTCCTCTTCCACCACATCTTTCTGCCATGCTGCCTTGCCCTGGAGCCAGAGGGCTACAGACTGAAAGCTCTACAAACCAAGCCAAAATAAACCTGTGTTTGAGTTGCTGCAGTTGGGTATTAAGTCCTAGTGACCAGAAGGTGGCTAAGACACAGAAACACATCTGTCTTAGCTTTATTGATTAAATGATCCTATTCCCAGCTGAGATGTTATAAAAGAACTGCAGATTTTCCCGCAGAACTATGAGCTGTCAAAAAGAAATCACCCGAGATCACCTCGTTGGGTCCCCACAGGACGCTGGCCATCGAATCCCATCCCGCCCTCTCCTCTAGCCTCTTTCTGCTGTCACATTGCCACCAGCCCTCAGTGTGCTTTCTCCTGCATCTAAAATTTGCAAACTTGATTGGCTTCACTTAGAGAAAATCATTTTTTTGGCAACCCCCTCAGATCAAAGTGCTGGTTCTAAGAGATGTGTGTGACACCACCTCTGGACACCACGGCTTCCTTGGATGACCAGGCCAAGTTCCTTGGAGGACTTAGGCTGGCCACAGGCTAAATCTTCGAGTAGAGGGCTGAGTTCCTGACTTCAGCAGCCAGCCAATCAATGAGGATCTGATTCACCTCAGCCGGCCTGGGAGGAGACAAAGGGCAGCTCACACTGAGGCCACCGACCCACTGGAAGCCAAAGTCGGCAGCATGAAGACTGCGCAGCTTCTGTTCAGGAAGAGCACACAGGGAGTCCGGACCCCACCCAGGACCTCAGTCTCCTTACTTCTCCATTTGTGTCCAGTGTCCGCAGTTCTTAACATGTCCCCTTTTCAGGTGAGGGATCTGGAAGAAAAGCCCATGCAGGTAAGGTAAGCAGCACAGTGCAAGTATCTCTGGCTTCAGGCGAGTGTGATGGCATGGAGGCCCACGGGGAGGGGACCCCTTGCTCTCTACACCCACAGAGCACCCCTAGTGAGCCCTGCACCATTTAGGAAAGGAACAAGGGGAGAAGGAGAGACTATATCAGCCATGATGAGGGAACGGCAGTCAGGGAATGGTGATGCCAGTAACCAGTCCTCCTGGGAGCAGGGCTTCAGCCAACAGACCCATTCTCTGCTGCTGCCTCCTGCTGGACACCTGTGACCTCTCCCAGAATGCACTCTTGACCTCAGGCAGGGCTGTTCCCTCACCCAGTCCTCCATGTGCTTGGTCATCTCAGGAACAAGTACGACATCTTTCTCCGCTGTCACCATCAGGGCCGGGATCAGGATCTGGTGGGGGATGAGCCATAGGAGCAGCTGCACTCCACGCCTGTGCCCTCTGCCCTACCTGCCACACACGAGTAGCACTCTCATGCTCCTGTGAGCAGAGCAGGGAGTCACACTTAGCCCCAGAGATTTACAGGGTCGTGGGTTTAGCTACTCAGTGACCAGCATCACACGAGTGTGTCAGAGCATGGGGTCTGGGTGCTCTGTGACCGATGCTCGTGGAACTGATTCTGTGGTACCCAGTAAGAGGACACAGGTCAATATTCCTTGTGTCTTCAACATGGTGACCAAAAGTCTAGAGAGCAAAAGGGACAGCCACGGTGGTTAGCCGGTGACAATGAAGCCCACAGAGATGGCATCACTTCGGCCTGCTGGCTGAGGGGTGCTGGATGCCAAGGAAGCCTCTGTTTTCACTCTGTTCTCTTGCTACCATTCCTGTCGTGTCCAAGCTGCCTCCCAGGGCCCGGCTGGGAACTTGCCCCATGTTTCACCTACAAGCACAGAACGACCAGCTTCTCAATGCAACCCTCCTGCAGAGCCTCGGGAAGCTCCAAGGTGACCTTGTGGCTGAGACTAATCCTGACTCACTGCTGTGGGATTCTGTAAGTTCTAGAACATTCCAAGCAAAATGTAATCTGGTCAGGGAGCATGAGGGGAGGTGGGAAAGGAGTGAGGAAGAACCGTCAGAGGGCGGTGGAGGAGGGGGCTTCCCAGCCTATGCTACCGGGGTCACCTCCCCAGGGCCTTTGTTTCTTTCTGTGCCTGAGAGCCCTGGTCTGTGCACCACCGTTGGGTAAGCTTTGTCAGTCACAGACTGAGATGGTGATAATGAAATAAATTGGTGGTACAAGTACGCCGTGCCAAGTACCTGTTCTTAACACCACATGGCACCCACTTGTCATGGCGGGAAGCACCGTTCTTGCCATTTCCTTTCCGCAGAGTAGCCAGTAGGGCTCAGAGTGGTCCAGTGCCTCGTCCAGCATCACTGTGGCTGACCTCACTGTCTGCTTTAAACTGCGGTGTCATGAGCTCTGGGCCTAGGACTCGCTCCAGGGAGGTCCAGCTCGCTGCCCGGCGCATCACTGGTGTGTTCACTCACAGGAGGGGAGCCCACAGGTAACCAGCTCCCGGGGGGAAAGGAAGCAGGAGGCGGCGCAGCTCTGATCCAGTGCTGTGCAGGGGCAGGGCTGCACTTACCTTCCGTCCAGTGCCTCTGCAGCTCCACTTCCAGTTCCTTTCCATGTTGCGGTACCAGTTCAGGGGCCCTCTAGGAGTGGATCGGAGCACACATGGGGAAGCTCTGACTGTTGCAGTCCCCACAGGGACCCTCAGGCCAGAACCTGTCCTCCCAGGGGAGCAGCCCTCTGAAGGCTCTGAGAAGAGTATCCAGGCCCCGTGCCACGGGGTCAGTGCCCATACTAAGGGCAGAGACAGAGGGCAGCCTGAGAGGCTCCCAGGACTGTCCTTGGAGGGCTGTGCTGGGTTGCGGGAGGCTGCTGAGCATGGGGGTGTGGGTTAGCTCGGCTCCCCCGAATGCACTGAGAAGGAGCACCAGCAGGCTGTGCAAGGGTCCTGAACTGACAGCGCGTTACGCCTACGGACTTCTGTGTGTCTCTGAAGATGGAACTATCATGGTATTCTCAGAAGACTGGAACTCTGCCCCGCACGAGGCTCAGGCATAAGGAAGAGCAAGCTAGGCTACTGCAGTCAGCTGAGCCCCAGAGGGCGGTGAGCCACCCAGCGCCGGCGGCCCCAGAGCACAGCTGGGCCCACAAGTGACCGTAGGGCAGGGGGCTTTAGGGATCCTGCTCCACCAGCCACCTGGCCTCCGTGTCAGGGGCACAGTCCTCAGATTACCTGAAGCCAGACTTCTTGAACTGCTGCACGTAGAACTCAATCTCCTCCTCAGTGATCATCTTGCTGAGGCTGGGGTCCTCTGGGGTCTTCACAAAGAGCCCTCCTGCAAAGAGCCACCCATCACCCCTGTGCTCAGGCAGGCGCTTTCGCTGGGCTCAGATACAGGATGACTCTGTTCCAGCCCAGGTTGACCCCACCTCCCATGCTCCCTCAGACTAAACCTCTTCCAGCAGCTATGTCCCTTAGATATGGACCCTTTCCATGCTGTCTTGTGGCCAGGAAGAACCCGAGGCTTAGGCACTGGGGTGCTACTGCAGACTCCACTTTGGGTTCTCCTGATGGGCCCCCTGAGGGCCACTTGGTAGCTGGCAACTGCAGGGTGATGGTGTCATTTCTGGGAGACAGTCAGGGTGTTAGTTCTGGCACCCAGATGGTCCCAGCTTCCCGCCGTCCTACCCAAGGTGCAGGAGCCAGCCCCTGTAGACTTCATGCCTGATGGTACAGGGGAAGTGACCAGTGTCTCCTGGGACAGGCTGGCACTTGTGCACACTATGAGCCTCAGCACCCCAGTTCTGAGTGCACCCTAACTGCTATTTTCACCCCATTGCTGCTGCTCTGCCTTCCTTTGAGACCGTGGGCTCCCTGAGGTCAGCCTCCCGTGGGCCTGCAATCCCAGCTGCTGCCTCCCAGGAGCATGCTCAGAATGCAGTGGAGATGGACTGGCCCAGCAGTGAATACGCTAAGGAGCAGGTGTGGGAAACATACAGCAATGGAGGGACAAAGGAGGCATCCTTGGATTGGATGGCTCTAGAGTCACAGGAGTTTAACCCTAGCTCCACCCTCCCAGGTGAGGCAACCCTCTGAGACCTGTTTTGCAGTATGGAGATCACATATCAGATGACATATTAGACATGGTATGAGAATTGTAAATAATCTACCAAAGAGGGGCAGGGTTCAGGGCCTCATGCCAACAGCAGCTGCTCAAAGCAGTGGCAGCGATCATCACTATTAATAAAATACAAGAGGATAATGGCAAGGGTGCAGTGTTGGGGCAAAAATAAGGTTCTGTGGAAACAAGGCTCTGATCCAGGCTCCACTCCAGCCGCTCACTTTGGTCCAGCCCCTTGGGAGGACAGGCAAGTCCCTCCTGGTGTGGGGGGCATGGGGACCCAGGGGCAGCAGGTAATGAAAGAGGAGGCCTGGGTGGGGCCAGCCCATTGGTGCCCCCCCACTCTCAGGGTGACCCGGGGTTCCTTCTCCAGCCCGGGCTCGGGTCTTCAACAGCACAGATGGAACTGCTCCTCCCCACAGGATCGCAGAGCGCCCCAGGCTCTGTCTGCCTAGGAACCTGCTCCGCAGCTCCCTACAGCAAAGGAATCTGGGCCACATGGTTTCTTACCCATTTCAGTGACTTTATGCACAGTGAGAAAACCCTGTGGGAAGAAAAGGGTTAGAAAGGATGTCAAAGAAGCAAAACAAGTGTCCTGAAACAGGTCTTCTGCAGCCCGGTTACAATAAAACCCCAGCACATGCCATACAGGCTGCCACGGCTCATGCAGACTATCCCAGAGAGGGACTTGTTCTGAGACCCCTTGGGACAAAAGCCCATGGTGGACTGGGCTGAACCAAACACTGTATGCTATGTGCTTCTTTTACACATTTATGGTATGTGCCTATACATCTATGATAAAGTTTGCTTCATAAATGAAGCCCAGAAAGAGATTACTAATAGCTAATGATAAAACAGGGTAATTATAACAATACTATAATAAAAACTATGTGAATGTGGCCTCTCTTTCTCTCTCAAAATGTAAGAGACAGGAGGTGATTTATATCCCAAGGGGTCACTGTGAGATTTCATTACACTTACCTAGAATGGGACAGGATATAAAACTATTATTTTCTGGAATTTTGCATTTAATATCTATGGGCCATTGTTGGCCGAGAATAACTGAAGCCATGGAAAGTGAAACTCTGGTTAAGTGGGGACCACTCTCTTACAGGCTCTCGAAGGCCCCAGGGAATCTTCCTCTGGTCAAAGAGTGTTGACTGGGAAAGTTCTGGACAGAGATGGCTTCAATATGGATCCAAGTCTTGGGCTCAGCAGCCAACTGGACCAAGAGATGAGACCTCAGGCCCACAGTGGGTGAAGGATCAAGAATGGGACTCGCCAAAGTGCTGCCGCCACTGTGGAAATCAGTGTGGAGAGTCCTCGGAACACTACAGCTAGAATTCCCTGCTGACCCAGCTATTCCCCTTCTGGGTACCTTCCTGAAAGAGTTAAAAGCATCACAGACAGTGATGTACACCCAGCCTTGCTTATGGTAGCACAGTCCGCAATAGCCAAAACTTGGATACAGCCCAAGCGCCCAGCAGCTGGTGAATGGCTAAAGAAGCTGTGGCTCTTTATCCACCGGAGTCCCACTCAGCTATAAAGGATAAGCTCGAGACCTTCCTAGCTAAATGCATGCCCCTAGACTCTCAAGTGACATGCACTGCACACACACGTGTGTAAACACTGCATTGTTTCTCTGGTGTGAGAGAGTAAGGACCAGGATGTAAGTACAGCAGGCATTGTGAAATAGGAAGAAAGTACACAAACGGGAGAGGAAACAAGAAGGGGGGAGGGCGAGAGGAAAGAAGGCATAAGTAAAAGAAAAATGAGAAAAGAAGGAAGACATGGAAACAAAGCTTTTGTAAATGGGGAGGGAAGGGAGGGTTGAAGGGAGGGAAGGAGAATGGAAAAAATCAAGTTCTATCATGTACAGGTGCAAATTCTCTATGATGCATGCCATCATTATGTATATTAAAAGTGTACCAATAAAATCTGAATTAAAAAGTAAAGAATGAGATACTCCTGGCCCCTCCATGGTAAATCCAGTGCTTTACATGCTCAGTTAAAGGGAAGAGGAGAAAAAATCCACCCTTCATGGCAAGAGATGTAAAGGGAATTCACCCTTCTCAGCTTGCCGCCAAAAGGAAACCAAGAAGAGTTTTCCAAAAACTTCACAGTTTGTCCAGCTTACTAAGCTGCCTTCACCCATGCTTGTGTCTGAATTTACACTGTCGGTGTGGTCAGCAAAGCCCCACACGTGATGCAAACAGCGGAGCGAACCTGGGCAGGTAACGCAACCAATGTGCCGCACCAGAGAAAGGCTAAGCTGCTGAGGACGGTCAGTGCCTCAGTCCGAACTGAAGCAGGCTGGGAAAGATGAAGGGCTGCTATAGACAAGACCTGAGACACACACACACACACACACACACACACACACACACGCCTATGTACATGCACATGTGTACACACACGCACATATGCACACGCACATGCCCACGCATGTGCACATGCACACACACATGCACATATGCACACACACAGTTCCTTAACAAGAGTCAGCAAATGCAGTTATCAGTAAAATACGACTCTCCAAAATAAAATAAGTTAAAATAAAATAAAACAGAACAAAACACATTAAAAAAAAAACGGAAGAGAGAAAGAAAAATGATTAAAGACATAAGAGGGCTGGCTGTAGAGATATAGATTTGAGACAAAAGTCTGATGTCCCAAGAGAGCGGGGAACACTGGACTGAGCCCAAGGAGGGTTGCTGTCTGTTTGCAAATTCCCGGCAAGCTGGGACCCAAGGCAGCAGATAACAGCTTCTCCTGCAGGGGCCCTGTCCTTTGATCCCTCGCTTGGGATGTTATCAGCTAGCATTTGGGTGAGCCTATTGTTAGGCAAATGGTGGAAGTTAATAGAGACAGTAGTTTGTATTCACTTAGGTAATTATGCACATTCCTTAGTCTGCCTTTACCCCTCAATAAATGTGAGATGCTTCTGAGGCTCTGGGCTCACTTGGAGAGAGACTAATCTCAGTGAGACCTCTGAAGCTACATTCATCAGGTCTTCTCGTCCTTTCTTTCGGCACCGACCCATAATATACAACAGCTGGCGAGATAGCTCAGTGTTCTAAAGCACCTGCTTAGGCAAGCTTAGCAAGAGCAGGGACCATGGTTGGATTCCAAGCACCACATGCTGCACCAGCCCCGCCCATAGGGTGGGCTGAGCCAGCCACAAAAAAAAAAAAAAATCTCTTTACAAAGAAGACACAAAGACAGCATGGTGGTGCACACCTGTAATCCAAGCTCTTGGGAGGCTGTAAACAAGTGGATCACTACAAGTCTGATCTAGTAGTGAGATTCTGAACAATCTGTAAACCCTTCTCTAAAATAAAAGGAAAAAAAAAAGACATAAAGGAACTGAAAATAAGGCTAACAAGACTATCAAAATTAATTGGAATGATTTGAAAAAGTACCAAACACAACTTTCATGAATAAAAATGTCTTTTGTAGTTAAAAACTTCAAAGCAGGGACAGACCCCACAGGTGTAGGGTCCGAATAATTTGGAAAATTAGCAATTAAACAAAAGAGCCCACCCTCCGGTTTGTTAAGTAACCCAAATTCCTAAAACCTTAGGTTGGGCCGTAAAACCACAGGCCCAGCTTGAGCAAACATCACCTCCACTGGGTCCGATGACATTCTTGTGAAACAAGGTCAGTTACTTCCCCCTCCCCAAAGAATAGACCGAAACCACAAAGCCAGCTCATAGTTATCCTTTAACTGACCCTTCCTAGTCTCCTTTTTAGACATATTCTAAAACCCACCAATTATTTTAGAGGTTACCCTAAAATTAACCAATGCGATCTGCTTCTATAACCCCGCTTGCAAAACCCCTCCTCCCTTTGTCTTCAGGCTTAAAAACATGGCCCACGGTCAGTTCGGGGGCGCTCTGTTCCTGCGTGTTCAGACTGCCCTGCGTGCACACAGCTAATAAAATTCCCTTTGTTCTTTGCATGAGAGACTGACTCTTGGGGTCTTCTTTCGCGGCGAGGCGACCCTTACACAGGTTATGCGATAAATGTGTAAAAGCAATTAGTTAAATATGAAAATGTACATTTGAGGCAGGCTTCTCAAAAGTGATGACAAGCAAATTCTATGCGCTGATAAACCATTCTTGAAGATTAAAAGCAAAAATATGTTTTCAGGCCAAAACCACCTTTTTATTTGGGTTTTTAATTTTTTTTCCTTTCGCTAATTTTTCACCAGCACATGTTTGCATTACGTGATGATGACATTCACTGTGGGGAATCGGTACAGACACAGTGCATCCCAGGATGTTTCCCCTTCTTGTCCAGTCCTGTTTGTTTAAAAAAATTTTCCAGCCTCAGATCAAATTATCTATCAAATCTCTATTAAGTTAATTATTATAAACACAAATCAACAGCCAGACTAAAAGGCCAAAAAAACATATAAAACACTTAAGACAATTATACCAAATTAAAGTGCACTTTTAGAGACCCTGGCCATGCTGAATTAGTCTGTCTGTCTGTCTGATCTTTTTTATTTTGCACTTTATATAGTGGGTTTCTCATCTAAAACAAAGCACACAATATTTAAGCTTGTGTGTCTGACCTCCTTCACTTAATACTATAGCCTCCAGCTGCAACCAGTTTCCTACAAATGACTTACCATTATCCTCCCTTTGGGGACCCCATTTTCTTTATCCATTCATCTATGGCCGGATACATAGGCTGCTTTCAAAGTTTATCTACCACAAACTGCTGCTCGGTACGCATGCGTGGCTGTGATACGATCTCGTGCCTCTTTCAAGGTGATGCTAAGAGGGGCTGGGTCAAGTGGAGCCTCTAATTTTAGTTTTTTGAGAACTCTCCATATTGACTTCCATGGTGGCTGTACCAGTCCACACTCCTACTTACAGTGAGGAAGGGCTCCTTTCTCCTATGTAGCCTCACCAGCATTTGTTATTGTTTGATTTCTTGATGGTAGACATTCTTTTTGGAGTGAGATGGAATCTCAGTGTTGTCTTAATTTGGATTTCTCGAATGGCCAGTGATGTTGAACATTTTCTCATGTATTTATTGTCAGCACAAAATATTCTGACGTTACCACCCACAGACTCTGTGTGTGTGTGTGGTGGGGGTATCCTGGAGGTATACTAAGGATTGAACCCATGGCCTTTGCACTGAGCTGTATCCCCAAACCATATTTTACTTTTATTTTTTTGAGACAGGTTCTCTTTAAGTCAATATACTGCCTAGGTTGGGCTCAAATTTGCAATCCTTCTCTGTCAGCCTCCCATGACACTGGGATCAGAGTTACTGATCAGCACCCCTAGCTAGCACTTTTACTGGAAAACCATTAAAGGAAGCACTCCAGGAAGGAAGCAACTAAACTCAACACGAATGAGAGAGGTGCAAAGGTGATCAGAAGGAAACCAGAAAGCCAGAGAAAGTCCAGGCAGGCGCCAGGTGTTTACAGCACAGCAGAAGGGACGGGCACTAGGACAAGACAGGAGGGGGCAGGACTTGGAGTCACAACATCAGTTCATCTGGGCATCCAAGAAAGGGACACAATTAAGTCAACTATGCAGATGAAATGGTAATATGGTAACATGGCTTCAGAGCATCACTAGTATCACCAGGGTCTGATCCCGGGTGACAGTGAGGATGCAACTTTTCTTCACCAACAGGGTGACAGCAGAGAGGGGACCCTAATCATCCTGACTACAGCCATCAAGAGGAGAAGAACAAGCTGCTAATTCTCAGGCCCTTCTGCATCCCAGGAACCCTCATCCTTCACAGCAGGCCCCTCTTTCCCTCCCATGACCTACCCACCTCCTCACCTCATCAGAGGCTCTGAAGAAGGATTTGAAAGTCCGACTCAGGTTCTGTTCCAGCTCAGCCTCTGCCACTCCCTGTACCGGTTGAGAAAGCAAAATGAAGGACCCCAGCCCCAGCCCTAACCCCAACCCCACATGCCTGACAGAAGGAGTGCCATGCCTGTGTCCCCGCATCCACATGGCAGCCACTTGATTCTCATTTGGAAATATACGTTCATAAAAAGATTAAACGACATGATGCTGACAGTGAGCCCTGGACATGTAGGTTAGGGATAGGATGAAGATGTAGGAATAGTTTGGGTGCTGTGAGGTGATAAGAAGAGCAGAAAGTTGAGACATGATTACCAAAGGCCAAACACTATAATTCCAAAGCTGTTGCTGCAGATATTGCAGTGTTACTGTGGTAACTCCTACACCGAGTCCTTTGGGTTGGGCCTAAACTGTTATAGACCATCAGACTGTCAGTAGGTTATCCCCCTGAAGTCACGCAGCAAATTTTCATTGCTTAAGAGCTGGGACACACATCCTGCATGCTGCTGATGGGCCCGGTTTTCCTACCTCCTGGGAGTGCTATTACATACGATTGCTTGACCTATTAGAGGTCATGGTTGGCTTCAACAGAGTGGTCCCGATGATGGGATGAATGGAATAAGGGGTTCAGGGGAGGGGAAGGCCTGGTGCTGTGTGCATGCTATTTTCTTTTCTGCCTTCTAACCTTTTTCTCATCTTTTTGTAGTTTACATTCAGAAGACACCTGTCTATTGCAAACTGAAGATGCCGCAAATGCTGGCAAGGGGAGGACCATTAAAAATACACTTAAATGTCAGAAATACTTTGACAGGCCCTTCTGGCAAAGATTTGGTATGCATTAACAAATCCAACAAATACCCCTGCACCTTCTAGAATATGCCACTCTTTGGAGGGTACGTGGAGATGAGTACAAGCTCCAAGGACCTAAAGGACTGGCGGGGAGTTGGGCAGGTGGCCTACAGCATAGAGGAGGCAGCAAAAAGAACTGAGTGGAAATAGCAGCTTCCTCTGGCTCCCTACAGGAAGGAGTTTTAACCAAAGGAGACAGCCACAGCTGTAGTAATTCAGGAGAGACCAGGCGCTGTGGTCTGGGAGGCCTTGCTGCTCCATGCATGGATCTGGAAGCTGGAGACAAGTGGAGGGCCTTGGGTTCCCCCGGCTCCTCCAAACCACACTGCATTTCACCTTTGCTCTCCATCAGTCTGGGCTCTGGAAGCCTATAAGGACCTCTTTTTCCAGCACATGCGCTGCCTAGCAGACACCAGCCAGCCTCTGGTGACTGCAGCTGACACAGAACAGGTGTAGAGAGGCCCTACGGGGCAGTGTCAGCTCAGAAAACTGCAGAGACAGCAAAAAGCAAATACCAACACCCACCTGGGACACATCTGTAGGTAAAACAATCTTTCTGCAAAATGGGAGGAAACTACTATTCTGTCAGACACTCAGATGCCAACACAAGGACAGAAGAAAGAAGACAAGCACAGCCACCAAAGTTGTCATCTCCTATTCTCCCCTTTCTCTTCATGCTCCTCATCTACCTAGCCTTTGTTGGGAGCCTAATACGACCTTGCCTTGGCAGTGAGAATAAAAATATGAATGAGATATGAGGTGTATGCATAAGAAACTCACAACATGGAGAAAAAAAAAGACAAAAAATAGCTGACTCTAGCCCAGAGACTCTGGAGGAGTAGGTGCCAGGAAACAGTGACAGTACTGGGGCTCTACACCAGATGTGCTGCACCCTGCGCTCATCCTTTAACTGGGGCCTCAGGAGCATGAAAAAAGGGGCTCTGTCCAGCTTAGCAGGCAGGGTATTTGTCACTGCTCTACAGGGTGCAAATACAGTGGCGCTTCAGTTCACGAACTTAATTTATTCCACGATTCTGGGGGAGATGGCCGAGTTCCTGTTTATCACCTGATGCGGCATTTGCAAAGAGAAGCAGAATTCTGTTGAATGCTTCCATTTGTGCACTGAATTGTTTGGAAAGAGAAGCATTCATCACCAAAGTACTACCATATACAGCCTTGCCCTCTGTGAAGTGGGGTCTGTGGGCGTCAGCTGAGCCAAGGCTGGAGTACCAGCACTCTCATATCCTTCCTTTCCAGTCTTCACCTTCATCCCACTCCTACTGTTGGCCTGATAGACTTCTATGGGGATGGGCACTGTTACCTACCCTCTGCTCTCTTCGACTTTTTCATTGTCCTTATGGGATCCTCTTGCTCTCCTAAGGACGATCTAAGAACAAAGCCCTGGCCATGACCTGCAGGTCCCTCTGAACACCTGAGCTGCATCCCCAAGCTGAACTGTAGTTGCCTGGGGCAAGGGGGATGCACTCCATAAGTTAGAATCATGACTGACAACATGCAGGCTGCCCAGGCCTTCGCCTTCGCATCAGTCGTGGGCAAGGTCTGTGCTCCTGCTGTTGGGTCTCACTATGGCATTCATCACAGTGCAGAAGGCCACCACTGATGCTGTCGTAACTGAATCTCACAGAGGGGCCATGATAAATGTCTCCTTTCCTTCCCACGTGCTCCCCACGGCACAGATCCTGGGCACTCATGGGGAGCCAGATGTGGGCCAAGACAGCGTGACATCTCGAACTGCGCAAAGACCAGAACCACGGGTCACTGGACCACTTGGTGGGTGTAGCTTTGCGATCCTCCTCTCTGGGAACTACTGTATATTCAGACTGTGCTGCACCCCAGCACCAGCCACAGATGCTGCCAAGAATAAGACAGGTCCCTGCCCTCTAGCTAGCTCAGGGGCACACAGCCCCAGCTCTGTGGGCTCAAGAAGAGCAGGATTATTTGGGGACAGCACGGTGGAGAAGGCAGTGTTGGGATGGGCGCGGAAGGCCAGGCTTGGGGAGTGGGCCCTCTGGGGTGAGCAGAGCTCCTATCATAGTTTGTGTTGAGGTGTCCCCCCAAAGCCTCATGCAGTCATTGGGGTGGCTTCTAGAGTTTGGGATTAATTCATGACCCAATGTGGGGATTATGGGTGTAAGTGCCACACCGACCCTGGGCAGATAATCTGGATGCAACGTAAGGAAGGGAGAGGCTTGCTCGCTGCCATAGCCACTGCTCCTCTCTTTGCTCTTTGCTGTTTTCCACAGCCATGAACTGCTGCCCATGCCATGTGCCACTCTGCCTTACAGCCAGCTGAATATGGACTGAAACCTCCACTAACTGTGAGCTAAATAAACCTTTCCTTCCTTAATTCTGGATGTTGGGTATTTTTTTCCTGAGAAAAGTAACTGAGACAGCTCCGGTCACAAAACGTTCTGCAGTCCCAGGGAGCTGGGACCTGGCTGCATGATTCCTCCTTAGGAAGCATGCTGAGGAAGAACTTTTATTCTTCCTGAGCAGCTGACTCCTGCTGCATGGCTCAGTGAACCCCAAAGGTGGCAGTGACCCACTATTATAGTGTCAGCTATAGTTAATAAGATTAACTAATTAGAAGTTAATCTTTGACAGGCATCTTGCTGGCACGTGGCTGGTACCTAGAAAGCTTCCACTTGGGGCCTGCTGTGAGATTCTTTGGCTTCAGGTGCCAGACCCACACAGCTCAGTCTTCAGGGGTAAAGACGCCAGCTTGCTGGTGACAGGTCCTGAACTGTCACCAGGAAGACAGGTAGATTTCTACAGCCTGTCACCCTGAAAAGGAAGAAGGGGAGCTCCAAGTGAGCACTCAGCTCCCACTCTGTGGTTCCAAAGAAGCAGGAGAATCCAGCGTAGCTCTACCCACTACTCTCCTGCCCTCTGCCTCCCCAGCATGAACCACTGTGACCGGTAGGGAACCTCTGCAGCCAGCTGCGTCCAAGCTCATCTGTAAAATCATTTCGGACTACTACTACAGGAAATGGGACAGTGACAAGCCAGCAGGAGGAAGAGGGAAGGAAACAAGGGCTGCTGTGCTAGCTTCATTGCTCTCTGCATGCCACACTTACTGGCTCTTGGAAGTAGATTTGGTAATCAAAGGCTGGATTGGCTTTGATGGCCTCCATGGGGTGCACCTTGGGGTTTGCTGGGATGAAGGGGGTGTTCAAGCTGGCCACTGCCCTGCAAAAACAAGAGACACCGAAGCGCAGCCTGTGAGAAGACAGTCAGTAAGAACCAGAGACGCTCTTGATGTTAGCATTGAAGGGTGGAGCATAAAAGTTGCGTGCACAAGACCCTAGCCCAGGCGCCTTATTATCTACTCATCTACAATATTTCTCACCTACTTGTAAAGAAACATAAATATTGTATGCACCGTACTAATACAGATTAGAATATGAAGGTACTTGTGTGACTCCCTAGTTTCAAGCAATACATTTCTTTCTTACCCAGTCTTTCATAGAGTCTTTCACTGACTCGCTGTGTCTCTCTTCTGTGTAGAATGCAATTCCGTGTTATGTACCAGGGGTGAGAAAAATATAACAGAAACAAAACAGTGCCTCTCCTCCAAGGAACTGATGAGAAGTTAAGAAGAAGAGACTAATGAGAGGCAAATGCATGGCTCCAGTTTGTTATGGCTGTGACTCGAGCCACCAGAGCTGTTTGAAGTAGCGTGAGAGTTCAGATGAGATCAAGAAAGAGTATCTGGATGTGGCATCCTGGGAGGCCCGGGGAATGAGACAACATTTGAACTCAATTTCAAGGGTGGAGGGAGCTGGGGAGCCCAAGACTTGGGGGCCATCACAGGTGAGCATCAGCAGATTCTCAAAGGGAAGGAACGCGTATGGCTTTGTCGGAGGGAGCAAAGGGACAGTGTCATTAGAGGCTGAGTATTTAACAGGAGTGTCTTGAGAGATGTGAAGCTGAAAGGAGCCTGGACATCAAGAGCCTGCAGCCTTGTCTTGAAGCTGTAGGAAACCAGGAAAGCCATGAGGGCTTCCGAGAAGATGCAGAGTAGCCCAGAGTTTCAGGCAGGAAGATGAAGCAAGCAGTGATGGAGCACACAGGGGCAGAGCGAGACTCGGAGCAGAGGGCAGCTGCAGTCACCGCAGCACTGGCCGCCACCATAGGAAGCAGCGCGACAGCGATAGGAGAACAGGGGCATGAATTTGAGGCAATGCTAAAACAGCATCGACAGGACTGTGTGTGGTTAGGCTGGCTGGTCTCTAAAGCATCCCATATCTCACGCCTAGCCAGGAGCAACTTGGAGAAGAGAATGTGGGAGTACAGAATAGGAAGAGTGGGGTCACTGGAGCCAACGAAATAATCAGGGAAAGGAATGATGGGGCTTGGAGAGTGCCACACAGCCTGCCTGCCTGCCTGTCTATCACACAAGTCACAAATCTAATTTAAAAACTTTTTCTTTGCCACAGTAAAACAAGTAAAAATAAACAGGTGAGATTAACTTTAATATTTAACTCAACAGGTCTGTAATATTAATAATGAAAATGTAATCAATACTAAAAATCATTAATGGGATATTACACAGCCATTCTTCTTTCCTTTCCCCTTGCTCCCTCCATCCCTCCTTTCCTCTCTCTCTTTCTTCACAAAGCCAATGATATCTGCCATGTGTTTTCCACACACAGTGAACTCAGTTCAGGGGGCTGCATCCCAAGTGTTCAGCGGTCACGTGGCTGGTGGCGGCCATACTGAACAGCAGGGCTAGGGTATGAAATAAATTATATCGATGACAGTAGGCTTTTAATGTTACAATGGTGACCCTACTTTCAGCATCACCTAAATCCCAAGTCAAGAAATTCCAGCCTTTGCCACATAGTGAGAGGAACAGGGTTTTTAAATCACTTTGACATATACTTTATTCTGTAAGTTAAAAAACTACTATTATAGAATAAGATGATAGAACACAGATGCTGTTGCTGATGGCATTAAAATCAGGAAAGGCTACCCAGCCTCCTTTGGGAACAGAATCTCTAGGAAGATGGCAAAGAATGAAAAATGCACTTCTGGACTAATAAGAGAATAGCCTGCATTGAACAAGCCCATCGTTTATCTCAGTAGAAAGCCAAACTGGGGAGTCAAAGGCATAAACTACACAAAGGTAGGTGAATTTGCCCACTCACCATCAGGCTAGAAAAGTAAAGATCAGTGCAGTGAATGGCATTCTTAAGTAGCAGACGTTCCTGTATACAGCAGGCGTGTCTCACCAGGAAAGACCCTGGAACAGGAGGCCAGTGACAAGGCTACTCTGTGACAGCAGGAGCAGCCACTGCCAGGGCTCAGGGGCAGGCCAGGGGGAGGAAGCACCACATGGAGACAACCTGGAACGGAGCACCAGAGGTACCCGGATCTGATGTCATTCAGGCATTCACTTTGCCTGGGTTAAATGTTTTTTCATTGTCAACAACACAGCATTTTTCCTCCTTAAAGATAGAAATCATACACTTACTGCTGTCTTTCCTTTTATTCATTGAAAAGGCATGCAATACGCCTATCATCTCCTGGTGAACCCAGTTCTTCAGTGCAAGCTTTATTTCCAGTCAGAGTGAGAGAAGGGTGTGGAGATGGGGGAAGGAGGGTCAGTAGAACAACAGTGCCAAAACTTTTAAGAGTATTTTAGGGAAGCCTGCTTGCTTTCAATTGTTGACATAATCTCACAGGAACTAAGGCTGAACAACGCTCTCTGCTGGTTCTGTTCTTAGAATCTCAGCCACACAAAAAATACTGGATTAGCTGGGGAAACACAAAAGGCTATTGAGCCTGATGTTTCCCTAACTTGCCAAGAAGGGGATCAGGCAGCCTGTACCTGCAGCTCACCAGCTCAAATGGGGTGTGTCCACAAAGACTGACCACTGTGGGTGTAACACCTGTCGCCTGGAGGCCCTGACATGACCCCCTAGGGATGACTCTGAATGGTGATGGTGACCACAAGGTGCCGTGCTGTACGTTCCTGCAGGATGTATATCCACGTGTAGCTCTTGCTGCTGCTCGTGGCTGAGTATATGAAGATCTAAGAGGTGAAATGTTCTGTCCGTAGCCACTTCAGGGCAGAGCTGAAAGCCACACTATTTTATTCCTAGGCTAAGGCTGAACTCTATCCTGGGACTTGATTCTGTGTCTCTGGGACTTTGTTCTGTGTCTCTGATGCCCCTTAATGGCCTTCCTAGTTTCTCCCCTCAGCCATTATTTTCCTGTATCTCCACCGCCACTTGGACCCAGGGTTATGAGTACCACTGCCTGTAATTGGGACAGAGGCTGCTTCCTAATTCACAGGCTCATTAGGCCTCCTTTTGGATGAGCTAATGAGCACCAGAGAGCAGAGGAGTTTACCTCTCAGATGTCCACTTTGATTTCAAGAAATCATCTGGGGAGAAAGCCCTGAGGAGCAACTCTTCAGTGAGTTTAAATCCAGTCTTGGCAAATACCTGTTGCCTGAGGCCCACTCACCTCACTCTCTCAGGGTAGAAGAGGGCCATGCTCCACACCAGAACACCTGCCCAGTCATGGCCAATAAACACCGCCTGAGGGATGCCCTGTAGGAGGAGCAAGCAGGGACGGGATGTGACATCCGGGCCTTTCCAGTATGGTGTGCGAAGAGGCAGGGCCTCTTCTGTCAACCCCTCTGCCACCCTGGCTTCTCTGAGACATCAACCTCCTAAAGCTTCCATTCCCACACAGGCTCCCACACACCTCGAGAACCACCAGCTCTTACAATTTCCTTAGAAAACTAAGGCCACTGATCCTGAGTTCCTTCACTCACTCTACCTTCCCCCACAAATCAAATCTATTCTCCCCTGTTGCTTGTCTCTGAAAAGAAGTATGGCTGCCCTTTCCCTGCTCTAAGGTCCTCTTCCTCTGAGTCATTAGGATTCTACTCTTACTCTGCAGGGGAGCTCTCCCCCTTCGTTATGCAGGCGTTCAAATGCATCCACCTCCTCTTCCGTTCTGGCGCTGCTGCTGCCCCTGCTGACGATGCATGGCCTCTATTGCTCACCTTCCCTGACTGGGAACTCTGCTGGGTGCACACATGCATGACCTGGAACCTTCTCGCGACCTTCCACACCCAGGCTACAAATGCGCAGCCAGGCTCCTGTGGTTCTGGAGTACTGGAGGTTGAGCCTAGGGACTGTGCACTAAGCTACATCCCCAACTTTTTTTTTTTTTTAATCTTTGAGACAGGATCTTGCTAAGTCACCAAGTTGCCCAGGCTGGGTTCATATTTGCAATCTTTCTGCCTCAGCCTTCCAGAGTGCTGGGATTATAGACCTGTGCCACCACATCGAGCTCATGTTCCGTTCCTCTGTATTGTCAAATGTCTCACAATGTCTACACCAGTCTCCACCCTAAATAGCTCTGTGAGTTCCTGCAGCTTGGCTACTCCCTGCTACCCCAAGCCCGGGGCACCGCTGTCTAAAGGCTATTACTGGAATTACCAACCTTGTGTGTTTTTTCCCGATTCTCACCCTTCCAACCATACAGCAGGATCAGACATCTCCTGCGAGTGTTTCGTGGCTCTGCCCTCCAGGGCTTCATGACCCAGACACTGTGAGCAGAACCTTGTTTGCTCACACACTGTGACTTCTGCCTTAGAGACAGACAACCACCTCACCTGTGACTGGCACAGGCCTCTTCCCTTTGTCCCAGCAAGGACACCTGCCCTTGCTGACCTGCAGCCATAGTCCTCTTTCTCCAGGCTGAGACAAGCTCAGCCAGCTCAAGGTCTTGCAGCAAGATGGCCACAGAGTCAGGAGTGGACGTCTTCCTCACATGCACATCCAACCCAGTTCCACAGGGCCAGGGGCATGAGGAGGCCAGGCTTCCACATCCCCCTCTGCGTGTCTGCACAGGGCCTCTGCAGAAGTGGCCATCCCACAGCCTTCTCCCGACTCTCACAGCCAACTAATGAGCTCAACCCTGCCACCCTGGCTTCTCTCTGCTTTGTCTCCCCACATCAGTGGCCTGGCACTATCCCCCCATGCCCCAGGCTGAATCTGGGCAGGGGGAGAGAAGGACAGAGTGGAGTCTCAGGAGCACAGTGTGTTCTCTGCCAGTCACTGTGGTGATGGGTTTCCATTCATTATCACTGAGTCTGACACTGCCTGTGATGTCACCGGAAGGCAACGGAGTTTAGAGGACAGATGAGATGAAGTTGTAACATATTAGCTAACTCAGCATTCTCCACTTTCTTCCCGACACTCACGGATCTCCTCCCTGACTGGATGCCAGTAACAGTATCGCCCTACTTAATGGACAACCAACAAGCTAACTCCACATGATCCTTCAACACTCTTTTGCACCTTTTGTTCCCCCCTGCAGCCGGAAGCTATGCCTCCCCCTGCCCTGTTCCACCTGTCCAGCAGGGAACAGCTCCAAGCCATCCACCCGCCCTTTAATTACCCAGCCTCCAACAGAATTCTCCAAAGACAACAGGTCCACAAAATGACTTACCAATTTATCCAGGAAGGTCACCATCTCCTAAGAAAGAAAACACAGAAACAGAAGTTGAATCGATCCACCTCAGCCATTCCCAGGGCAGAGATACAGTATTCACTTGGTTTGGGGCTGATTGTGAGATTCCTACCTTCCTTTATTGAGCCCTGATAACAGCTCTGAGCCCCGATATCTCAAACTGCGACTGAGTTTGGAGAAAGAGACTCTAAAGGTTCTAGGGTGAGTGCTAATCCAGAGTGACCAGTCTTGTAAGAGAAGAGATTAGGACATAGATACACATGAGGACAGGACATGACCGCATGGGGACATCTGGAGAACCCAGCCACCCACAAGCTAAGAAAACTAACCCTGCTGATTCATTAGTCTTGAGCTTCCACCTCCCTGACTCTGAGGAAAACAGTATTTCTATTGTTTAAGGAGCTCAGATGGTGGCATTTTGTTATGATATCCCTGGTGGACCACGGCAGACAAAAATAAAAAATTTAGTTGAAGGTTTTCCAGAAATTCTTAAGGTGACTGCCAAGGTGGCCGCACACACAGGGTTCTCCAGGGACCCCACAGCCCTGCCTCTGCAGTGAGGGTGAGTCCTCAGGCGCTGTATTGCAGGAGGAGGAGGCGAGCAGAGCTGGGGTCTAGCATCAGGGTTCACAACCACCTGAGTTCCCTCTGCACAAAAGAGGCAACCAAGGGTGTGAGACTCGAAGTCCACGCTGCAGCATCTTTACAGCCTCCTTCTAGGGACACTGCTGTTGGTCTTGTCTAAAGCCACTCCTCTCCAAATGGCTCTCTTCAAACCTTCACCCTACTTTCTTTCTATTTTCTATTTCACACTTTTGCTTTGGGCTCTCCAATTGTCTGCAAACCTGACCAAGAGCTTGCTGCCGTTTGCCAGGCCCTCCTCTCTGCAGCGCCTTCTCCCTTCCAGCGGCAGGAGAAACTCAGCGTGAGGCGTTCTCTATTTCAGCAACTTTCAGCTGCTTACAGGCCAAAGTGGAAGCAGCTCCCACACTGCTGCTCAGCCATTCAAAGTTTCACTTCCAAGAAACCTCCTCTCTGTATCTGTCTCTCTCTGTCACTGTCTCTCTGTCTGTTTTGTCTGTCTGTCTGTCTCTAACAACTTTGCTAAAAGATCCCTGGCGCTAGAGAAATGTTTTCCAACAAGAAGCACCTGGATCTACAGATATTATCTGGCTCTATCCATCTACTGGAAAAACCTTAAGGCAGCTCTGCAGCTAGGCAGGAAGAGTGGACTATACCCGAACACATCACAGTTGCC